TGGCTGCTTCTCTCTAATTCGGAGAGAACTGGCTTTACGGAATTTGGGTCCTGTCGCTACGGCGCAGCGGGGACCCCCAAATAAATCACAAGCGGGTGAAGCTTGTGACCGTGGGACTCAGCGGGCACGGTTTGCGCCCCCCCAATTGCTAAAGGAGCTCGGCAACGGGCTCCAGAGCGGAGCGGGGGTGGCGTGGTGCTGTGAGCAAATTGCTTCTTCCGTGGAGCGAAGCCGCGAAGCTGTTACCGGAGAGCGCTGCCTTTTTCCTGGGATAATCGGCACTGAAAACAACTACCCGTGAGTAGGAGTAAATTGGATTTAAAGGGGAAAAAAAGTTAATTTGGCACGGAGCGGGGAAGGTACAACCAGGAAGTCTACCTTCTCTGAATTGTAAATAGATCAAAGCAAAGAGACTTCAAAGCGGAAACGTGGAAAGTCACTTGGAAATGAGCTAAATTCTAACATCTTGAAAGTGGTTCCCCCTCCGGATTGCAGGACAGGAGGGGGAAAAAGACTGAGCTGAATTTCCCTGCAGTAAAGAAGGGGAGAGGAAGGAAGAATTTACAATTTAAGATTCGGAACGGACTGCCTTAAGATAGAGGTCCATAGTGAAAGTTTATTTCTGACAGCCAACTCTGCAAAAGTGACACAGTGTTTCCGAACCTCTTTTGGCTTGAAAGTAACTGTTTAAGTGTACTGAGACTGTGGACTTTGAAAGTAAATTGGGGGGACTTACAAAGACCATTTTTGTTTTTAAAAAGTTACAAGTTCTGACTGTTACTGTGTCCCCCTAGAGGAGGTTGGACATTGTTACAACAACAGTTATAAAGAGGAAAATTCCATTCTATGTCAAAACAATTGATTGACTGTGGGAGTGACCTTGAATGTCTATGAGACTGTTATGGCAGATGATAAGAAGTCGGAACCGCAGGAAAAAACTACTAGGTCTGGCAGACATTATCGGATAGACACTGCGTTGCCGCGAAGGAGCTCAACATCTGGAGCATCTGGAGCATCAGGGGCCCCACTCCCACAGTCTAAACTAAAAGTTATGTCGTCAGAAGAAGTTTTGGCACAGGCACTGGCAAAAATTAATGAATCTTTGGAAAGCCTAAGTAAACAGGTAACTGAGACAAATAGACAAGTAGCTGAAACAAATAGACAAGTAGTTGAGACAAATAGACAAGTTGTGGAAGCATCAAATAAAATTGATTTAAATACTGCAAGTATTAATACCTTGGGACAGAAGGTGAATGCCAATACAGAGACTATCGAAAAATTACTACAGGAATCTGCCTCGATTCGACAGACTGCAGAGGAAGCAAAAGATATTGCAATTGCTACTCAAGAGAAAATTCCACCTGTATACAAGAAATTGGAGGACCATGATGTGACATTTTCTATGATCGAATTAAAAGATAGACAAAGAAATCTGAGAATCAGGGCTGTTCCAGAGCGGGAGAAAGATAATTTGGCTGACTTTCTTACACAGGAATTTACAGATTTTTGGCAATTGGACCCGGGGAAGGAAGAATTTAAGATAGTGAATGCATTTAGGCTCGGAAGAAGACAAGGTAAGGGCAAGGTGAGAGACTGTTTGATTACCTTTCGAACAAAAGAAGAGAGAGATAAAATTCTGAATTTGCACTATCAAAAAACTTTGGAAATTGATGACTCAAGATTAGTGATTTTTAAGGACATCCCAAAGCATTTGCTGGACTTAAGGTCCAATTACGGAGACCTAGTGACTTTATTGAAAAGAAACAGAATTCTTTTCAGGTGGGAATTTCCGCAAGGCCTGTCCTTTAAATATAAAGGGAGAAAGATAAAAATAAAATCAATTGAGGAAAAAGACAGATTCTTGAAAGATCATGAGGAAGATCTACTGAAAGAAGGGGAATCTGAAGAAGAACCAAAAGGCATACTAGACATATCAAATTTATCTTTTGGACTGCACGGTCCAGAAAAAGTGATACTACCCACAGAACAAGAAGCGGCACTTGGGGCAGTTGGAGGTAAAGTGAAGTAGCCCCCACCATGGCTCTGCAACTATTAAGCTGGAATTGTAACGGTTTGAATTCTCCTCGAAAAAGAAAAACTGTGTTTCATTTATTAAAAAAAGAACAATTGGACTTGATTTGTTTACAAGAGACACATATAACAAGGGCACATAGGAAGTTGTTGATTAATAAAAGATTAGGACAGGAATTTGTTTCATCTGACAAAGTCAAAAAAAGAGGAGTTGTGATTTATGCAAAGGAGAGACTTTTACCGAAACTTATTTTTAAAGATGACCAAGGAAGATTTTT